ATAGCCATAACATACCATACATGCTGTCTAATTCAAAATAAAAAATAAAAAATTAAAAAAAAAAAAAAAACAACATACACAACATGTAAATTATTGCACAAGAGAAAGGCTCAAAGTTTGCGTAAAATGCAATAGTATTGCCCCGATACAGATCATGCATTCAAACGGTGAGAACAAAAAGAAAATAAACAGGTGTGCTGGTGACAAGCACTTTCTGAATATCCTTAGCTTCCATTAGTTTAATCACGAGGGACTAGAAAACCTCTACAGGGAGCCGGGGCGGGGACGGGGAGTATTAATATACCTCTATTCAGTTTTTATCTCATTATTCAAGACTCGATCACTGTGCCATTTTTTCATGTGTTTCTCCAGGGTACTGTACACGCTAAAAGGCATCTTACAAATCTCGCATTTGTAAACGTCCTTTCCCACCTGACCATGTGTTTTCATGTGCCGGGTGAGCTTGCTACTCTGGGCGCAGGCGTAGTTGCAAAGCTCACACTTATAGGGCCGCTCGCCCGTGTGGCTCCGTCTGTGGACAGTGAGATTACTACAGTTCTTGAAGACTTTCCCACAGTACTCACAAGTGTCGCTGCGTCTGCCCTCTTTTGAGCTGGGCCTGCCAGGGCCCGGGCCACTAATATGCGGGGTGCTCCCTCCGCTTCCCGTGCCGCTGCGGCCCGAGATGCCGCCATCCAGCTCGCCCGGCGGCGTGGAGAAGCGCAGGCTGCCGTTCTCCGACGAGTGCTCGGAGGAGGAGGCGAAGGGCGATTGTCGGGAGTCGCCGAAGCTGAGGAAGGGGTCCTTCAGCTGCCGCGAGGCAGCGTAGCCGGCCAGCCACTGGGAGTAAACGTTTTCGGTGTTGGGCATGGCGGCGGCAGGCAGGTCGAACTCCTTCTCCAGCTTGATGCGTTTGGAGAAGGGGCTCAGGGAGCTGGGGCTACCCAGCAGCAGCTTTTTGGACAAGCCGCCCGAGGCGGACTCCCCCGGGGAGCAGCCCCGGCCGTTGACCGCCCCGTCGTCGATGCGGTCAGACTCGCCGGCCACCGAGTCTTCGTCGCAAGTGTCCCTGTGCACCTCGGCCTCGGAGAGGTGGCCCCGTTTGTGCTTCTCCCCCAGCACCTGGTGGAAGGCCTCGCTGAAGTGCTGCATGGAGCTGAGGACCATACCTTGCATGACGTCCGGCATCGACCGGCTCTCCTCGCCGGCCCTGGAGTTGTTCTCATGGTGGCGGGCCGCCTCCAGGTTCATCCCGAAGCCGTAGTCCGGCCTCTCATTCTCGTTCAAGTCCTCTTCCTCTTCCTCCTCCTCCTCCTCCTCTTCCTCCTCCTCCTCCTCCTCCTCCTCATCCCCGTTCTCGGGGATCATGTTGGGGTCATTCTCGCTCTTGAACTTGGCCACCACCGACTTGAGGGCGCTGCTGGCACTGCCGACCAGGTCGCTGGTGCCCGGTTCGGGGGAGCTGGCGGTGGAGAGCCCATCATCCGACTTCACCGTCATGGGGGACGACTTGTGCATGTGCGTCTTCATGTGGCGCTTCAGCTTGCTGGCCTGCGTGCAGGCGTGGTCGCAGAGGTTGCACTTGTAGGGCTTCTCCCCGGTGTGGCTCCGGCGGTGGACCACCAAGTTGCTCTGGAACTTGAAGGTCTTCCCGCAGAACTCGCACGACTTGGACTTCATGGGCGGCTGGGAGGGAGGAGGAGCGGACTGCAGAGGAGGAAGGGGCGGCGTGGCCAGGAACGGGGGCTTGCTGCCGGGCTGGAAGGGCTGCAGCAGCCTTTGCATAGGGCTGGGCCGGCTCGGGGACAAGGGCGGGCTGGAGGTGTTGCCGGCCAGCTCCCGCAGCCGCCGGGAGAAATCCATAGCGGGCGGCTCCATCGCCATGGGGTTCAGTCGCAGCACCCTGTCGAAGGCACTAGGGTGATGGGTGGCCAGAGCCATTTCTTCCGCACCCAGGCGCTCTATGCGATGCGGATCCAAATGGTGCCTCGGGGGAGGGCTAAAGAGGGGCGGCGTGGGTGGGAATCGCCCTTCTCCCAGCCCCGACGCCTCTCTCGAGACCGAGCCGGGTATTCTGAGCAGGTTAAAAGGGTTATTGTCTGCAATGTGAATCCCGTGGAGAGGTGGCTGGGAAGGGCACTCTGCACCTAGTCCTGATGGGATACCAACCCGTGGCGTCAGGGGGCTGCCGTGCTCGCTTTCTAGGTAGATCCGTAAGCCGTGCGTGTTCTGTGCGTGCTGCAAGAGGAACCAGGCGCTGTTGAAAGGCTGTTTACAAGTCGTGCACGTGTAGCTGCTGGGCTCGTCTTTACCTGCAAAACAACACAACAGCAGCGTAAATGTTTAATCGCCCACCGGTGGCTGAGAGCTCGCCTCCACGCCTAAGCTCTCCTTCTGCTTAAGGCTACGGCCGAAGGGGCAAAGGGACGCGTGCGGGGCTGGGGGAGGCTCTGCTCCGCTCCCCACGTGCGAAACCAAAGTCAGAAAGGGCCAGGGAGAGGGACAGCGAGCGAGAACAGTGCGGGAAGAGGCAGCCCAGGCAGGGAAAGGGCTGGAGCGTGGCCAGGGAGCCTGGCCGGCCGCCCCGCCGCAGCCGCCGCGTCTCTCGCGCGCTGAAAAGAGGCTGGGGACGGTGAATGGCGCTTTGGCAAGGAGCGAGCGAACTCTGTTTCGTGATAATTTATTTTGGGAGATAACACGGACATTATAAAAGAGCAACTGACTAATAAATATCCAAACAAAAAGCTGGCTAATAATGGCAGCCCCCTCCGATGCACGGCAAAACAACAGAAACGAATAACTTTCTGAGGGCCCTATGCACAGGGAAGAGCAGTGGGGAGCACGGCGAAGGTGCGTGCGTTTTGCTATCAATTCTGGCAATTTTGTGCCATTAGTCACTTCCATCCCTGTATGCTTTTTTTGCTAAATACCAGTAACCTGCAACTACAGCTAAGGTAAGTACAGAAATTAATTTCCAGTCCTGCCTAGGAATTCTGTAGAGTTGCTATTCCAGTGATTTAAAAAAAAAAAAAAAAAAAAGAAAGAAAGAAAGAAAAACCAATCCTGAGGTTTGCTGAATAATAAAAATATCTCGGGTTTTCCCAAGCAATCTGTGCCCAGGGGGTGCCCTGGCTCCAGACAAACCACCGCAGGTTGGTCTCTGCGTAAGATACATGCAAGTTCGCCACATTAGGTTTTGCATAATTGCCCAATATGAAGAAAAGGAAAATGTGTTAAAAAAAAAAAAAAAAAGCAGATTTGGAAAGAAAACATCATTTTATCCACAACCGTCTTGTTTTCTATCTCACTTGAGAGGAGAAGAAGAAAAGCTTCATCTGGGTGTTTTCGTTATACAATGAGCTGAACAACGATTTGGGAATATGACAGGCAGGCAGCCCGCAGCGCCGGCTATAGCGACCCGTCGCAGCCTCCCTCGCTGCCTCCCGGTTCTTCTATTATTATACATTTGGCCTGACAATCTGAATTGAGTGAGTAAAAAGCGACTCAACCGTCTACAGCGGGCGTTTAACACTTTAGTCGCTTTAAAAGCTCTTGGAATAATATTTAACGTCTCGTCCTTCGACTGAAGCCAGCGTTTGAATGAAGTGCATGGCGGCGCTCGCTATGTGCCAGGCATGGGAGTGCAGATAAATACTTAAATCTGTTGAAATTAGAGCAAAATTCAATCGGGCTTTCACATTCCTCTGCTCATTTGTGAGCTCGGAAAAAAATCTTAAATGGGAAAATTTCATCTTGCTTCGCCATAATGAAGTGGAAGTTTTTAACAACATGCTACAAGCCGCGCGCCGGGGCTGCGGTGCGCTAACAATGTAATGCTACCTCGCTTCTCTATTTTATGTATTAGGTCAGAGAAAATAGCATTTTATCTTATAATGAGGATACAACATACAGTGCTCACTATCGCATTTTAGTATTCCCATCAACTAGATATTCTAGATCATAAGGGCAGCTAGTGTAATCATAATGTCAATGAGAAGGGCTGTTACGACTGAGACTAAAGATTACATGGAAAAAGCTGCTTTGAAACTGGTAATTATTACCAGTCCACTAATAGCAAATGATGCATTACAGTTTCACCATATAATCTGTATTTCACTCAGCTCCTGCCAGTGCAGCCTTATTATATTACAGTGCTCACAAATTCTAAATTCCTAAACTACAGTCATCAATAAATGTGTTACTTGCCATAATTTGCAAAATTACTTTGTTCATAACATCTTCGACCGTTATAAAGACTAGAATTGATTTCCTGCATGGCAAAATTAGGGCTACATTGATTTAGTGGAGTGTAAAATGTAATATTATTCTTCACTTGCTTTCCTGAAAAACAAGTTTTGAATTCAGCGTCCGTGTTTGGTAATCAAGATAATAATTTAAATATAACATAATGGTTATGCACAAAACTTCCCTAATCTTGTGACCTACCATCCTCAACGTAAAACCAGGCGATAAAATAAAGCAGCAAAATGGTTAAAACCACCAGCTATCCTGCCTCCACCTCCTGCTCTGAAGAGACGCAATTTCTAATTTGTCTATTAGTGCTTGATTAATTACGAAGGCTATTGACTGACCATATCACCACCTAGAGATACGTTCCAGTCTAATGCAGCCTTGCCAAACGGTAAGAATTACGGCAATCATCCGCTCATTACCAGCAAGGACTGATGAGGGCATCGAAACGGGGTTTTGAGGAGCTTCGCCTTCCCTTCGTCCCACCCCACCGCCCCTTGTCCTTCACCAGGGCCGTGCTCCTGGAGGTGGCCGCTTCCCCGGGGACATCCACGGAGGGGCTGGCGGGGGGCAGAGGCGTAGCCGTGTTGTTCTTCAGGCAAACACAGCATCTCCCAGCTGGTTTGCCCTTCCCGACCCAGAGCGCCTCTCCCCTCAGCAGATTAAGCCGAGATGGGCAGCCAAAGCCGTCCCCACGAACCCAACAGCTCGGGGTGCTCCTGGCCTCCCGCCCAGGCTGTCGTGCCCACGAGGTCCTGGTGGACCTCACCAAGTGCTGGCTGCCGGCCCGGCTGTTACCGGACCCGAAGGCTGCGGAGCTGACGGCTTCTCCTCGCTACGGGCCAGCCTCCGCGCTCACACACTGCCCTACCACGGACCACAAAGCATTCAGGCATCCCAGTGGGCGAGTTGCGGACCCCGAAGGCAGAGAGGAAAGGAAGCAGCAGGGTGCTTTTGGCAAGTGCAGCTGGTGGGATCAAGTAGTCCTGGGCTAGCAAAGGACAGAGCTGCAGGAGGGTCCCACCAGGCTCGTCTCATGGCTTGCCTCATCTTCCACCGGGGCAAGGCAATGGGACGTGTTAGCCAAAGCAGCATTGCAACACCACTGGGGCTTTCAACCAGTTTCCAAGAGACTCACATGAATCCCCCAAATCTAGATGCAAAGAGGGACCCCAGCAGCCCTGCCCACATCCTCAGCTGCTTTGCACTCGAGGACTTTAAGGTCCATAGGGACCGTCCGCTACCATCCTCGGACCTTTTCTGCACTACGTGGCTCCACGTCCTGCACTGACCCCCCACAAGGTCCTTGGGTACAGCGTCACCTCCTCCAGCCCCACCGGCCGCAGCATGGGATCCCAAAGACAGCCACCCAAACCAGATCAGAGCCACTTCAAACCGTATCAGAAGACTGAGGAGAGGCTGAGCACCCACAGGTGGTTCCCACCACTCGTCACATGCTCAGCTGCAGCTCTCTGGCGTCTATAAACCTGGGTTTCTCTAGCCCCAGCTCCTTTTCCTTCCCGTTCTGTTTGGGTGTTCTGGAGATATATAGAAAAGCCTGCCGACCATTCCTTCTCACCAAGGGTTCTCTAGCAAAGCCCTGGCTTCCCAAAATCTGCTGGTGGGCTCCTAATCCCCACACTGCCCGCCCCATCCGCATGCACAGTGCTCATTTTCCCCATGCGCCTGTGTCACGCAGAACCAAGTCGAATGCTTTGCAAAGTCTATTTCATCTGCATTTATCAACCAAACTTGTCATCTCGAAGAATGAAATCAGGTTTATTTGACAAGATCTATATTCCATAAATCTACGTTGAGTGGCATGAATTATATTTCTAGCCTTTAATTCTTTATCAATTGAATCTTATGCCAGCTCTTCAATTATTTTGTCCTGAGCAGATAGGCAAGGTGTAACGAATGCTCCCCCGGTTACCCCAGACACCTATTGGCACTATTTTCCCAGTCCGTAAGCTTTATTAAGAACAAGCATCACTTGCCAACATTTAGGGATTCTTGGGGGTAAGTTGCCAGGGCCTTTCAATTTAAAAATATTTATCTCCATTGGACCTCGTATAAAATCCTCCTTGTCTGCAAATGAGCTGGGAAAAACACCATCACCCTGCCTATTGATCCAGAAACGTAACGCTGCATCCTTCCATCCCTTTGGTACAAATATTGGTTCAAACACTGCTACCTTGATGCTTCTTCCACTTTAAAACTAGCCATGAGCAACTCCTGGGAGCTCCAGCATTGCCAGGACCCTGCAAAGCTCTCTTATCCTCCCTGGCTGGGCCAGCACAGGTTTTCCGTGGTGTCTCAGGCTCCTCGTATCAGGTCTCCACTCGTCGTGATTTCCCACTGCGATTGATTGCTATCTATTTTCCATTTTTTAAGTTGTCATGTATTGATTTTTTTTTTATCTAGTTGCCGTTCTCATCTCACCACTGAATAGGGTGTGGGGGGATTTTGGCCAAGGTGGCCGGCACCTCCCTGTCCTGCTCAAAATACAAACAGCCTCCAATGCCCACTCACATTTCCCTCTCTACGTTTTTCCTCCCGGTCAATTTTACTGACAATTCTCTTCATGATTTGGGGAGCTGTCCCCCAAGGGCAGGACAGGGCTGTGGTGCAGCCCCGTTCCCCCTTCTCCTTGCAGTTGTGTCGGGGTCGAGGATCTGGCTCACGGCGCTTTGTGGGTTCGCACAAAACCCTCCGAACCACGGGAGGTGATGCCTTGATGCCACGCACGAATCCCGCACCAAAAAATCCCTTTTGCTTGACACTGGGGGGATTGCATGGGGATGCCCCTGTATCAAATACAAGCATAGGGGCAATACTGATCCTGACGGGTCTCACACAGTGAATACTCATCCACGACTACAGATTTATTCACTTTGGCACCCCAGCCAGCAAATGGCCAGTGCCACCACACCACTCTACACTGGGGCACCAAGTAGTGCCTCTAGAGTATCAGCTCCTGCCTAAAAAACCCTTTCAGAACAGCTCTTACCTGCCATGCCCCCCTGAGAAGTAATTTAAGCAGGAACATGCGAGCGACAGA